TATTAATTATTATAGATAATGTTTCGCGAAACGCATAACCTTCATAATTATTATAGATAGATATTAAATAAAATATATTGTTATATTTCGTGTATAAATATAATGTTTTTAAAACATTTTTCATTATAATTTAAGAAATGACTTTATTAAGTTATATATGCAATATTTACAAGTCTGATTGAATACATATGAAAAATATATATCGAATTATGGTACATACCAATTATAATCTGAGCTGTCATTGCCATTTTCGCTCCTTTAGATATCTTTTCGTATTATTATATGTAACTGACACTCAACTTTCGCTATATGTTTAATCTCAATTGTCATCGTCGACTGAGCTGACTTTGTCGAAATGATGTTTGTGATGATGGTTACCAAACAATTTTGTGATGAGATGCTGTTTATATTTTTTTTCTTTCTGAATATTTAAATTGTATTCCGTCGAAATTGTATAACGTCGATTTTATTTTTATAATTTAGTGAGAATACTGTCACATTTCGTTATAATTACGTAAAAAATACATGTAAAAATGTATTTCAAATTAATATCAATGACTTATAAGAATATAGAAGATTCCAATTAAATAAGAAAAAGAACAAAAATATTATATACATATAGATATTAGAAATAAAATAAATTATACTTGTCAACTTAATTATGCTTACCAACTAATAAATTGAAGAATTCAATATATTAGACTGACCATTATATATTTACATTTATCATAATTACATAAGAACCTAGTATTATATTAGTTTCTTGTGAAAAAAAGATTTAAAATTTATAAAAGAAATATTAAATTAAAAAATCTCAACAAACGTATATAAATTTCAAAAGATTTAAATGTAAGAGTAGTTCATTATTATACGCGCGGGGAAAAAGTATTTAGAATACGAGAAAAAAGAAAGATCAGAAACAGCATTCATGTAGCATTGATTTTATTTCTAAAATCACAGTCGCGAAATGCGACGTCATTTGGAGAAAAGCGCGGGCGCGCAACGCAGCACCATCCAACGGACTCCAACGGAACTAGCTGATGCGTCGGAGCTTTCGTGCGACGCCATGAGGCGGCGCGCAAGCGCAACTCGCAATCGTCCGCCCTTTTCCCGCCGCGCTGACGCTGACGTCGCAGACGAGTGTCGGGCGGCCAGTAGCAGCTGACCGATGGGAGCGTTCGGAGTAGTTCCTTCCGTACTCGGCTTCGCAGTCCTCGCATTCGTGCGTGTCCGCGTGAGCCCGTACGTTTCACGGCGATCCGTCAATCGTCTTACGTCGATCGACACGCGTCGTGTGTGATCCGAAAAAGTAAAGCCGGCGCCGAAGGAAGAATTCACGAGGACGCCGCATCTTCTACGTCGATTGCGAAACTAGTGAAAGGCGCGCGACACGCGGGACGAAGACGACAACGGCCACGACGACGACGACGGGTCACGGGTGGAATTGCCACGGTCAACGGAACGCCGGGTGAGTAGCGATCGGAGTTCCTTCTCTCGCTTGCGATCGCGTCGCCGATATCTTCATCGTAGAGCGCAGTGCGACTGGATATTCCCTCCCGGCTGTGACATGTCAAGTTTTTGACGTCAACTTTCTCCGATAAGTTTTTTTTTTTTTTATAACGCTCGTAGAATGCTATTTATATATGACGCTCACCGAACGGTATGTACGATCGCACGACGCTCCGCTCACGAATCCGTGGGGCGATCAGTTGTGTCACGTCGCAGGTTCCGTGACATCGCACAGGGAAACGAAGATGCGTGCGTGAGTGCGTTATACTTGCGTGCGTCAAACCAGACCGCGCGCATACGCGAGACTTTCGCGTTCTCCGGGGTGACTGACACCTGATGCGTCGATGACCGTGCCATGCGTAGAAATATGGAATCCATCCGTAGAATGGCGAAATGTCATGCGAAAAGATCGCGCGTTATTTATTTTTGTCCGACGAGAAAATATTTCCGCATTCCGACGCCTCGCGAATGATACGATCATCTCGCGTTTACGCAAGCACATACACTTTTTTTTTCGCGCGGAGGGAGGACGCGCGATCCGGAGAAAGCGTCAGATGGCGTCGCGTCCATCCGGGGAGGACTATTTGCGCGGTGTGTGTGAATCGCGACTTCCTAGACCACGGCCGAAAAACATGCATATTCGTGTGAACCACTGAAAGTTCGACGAGGTTGAGAACAATTTCTGGTTGAAAAGACAGAATCGGAAGATTCTGATTCGCGTCGGTCAAAATTCTGCAGGTTACTTCAACTGGAGCTTCCAAAATGTTCTCTCTCGGTATTCAAAAGATACTCGTATTTTTAAATATCGAGTGAAATTTTTGCTCGGAGAGGACATTTTGGAATATAGCCTGAAATTGTAATAGATTTAACTAGAAAATGCTAATCCGTCTATTTTCAATCAAAATTTCAATTAACTCAATCAGACTTTTTCCAATGCGATCGATGGTTTCAAAGATGTATTTTTGTAGCGCGTATTTTGCACGCTTAATGCATTCGTAATGAAATGTCATAAATTAACTGTTATTCTCGTTGTTCGTATATTTTTTATACGTTTTATATATTTGATACATTTTTTGTATATTTTTATGCATTCCACCGAAAAAAACTAAAATATACCGGAAACCAAAGTGTGTCGACGCTGTGATTTTAAATTCTAACAGGTTTGTATCTCGGCATTTTAAATTCTAACGCGGATGTGCCAGGATTTTAAATTCTGATATGTACATGATAGGAAAAACACATCGAATGCGAAAAAAAGTTGCGACTTATCAGTCACCGTTAATTGCATTCATATCTGAGGAATTTCGAACGTAACGTTGAAAGCGAACGTTTCCATAATAGACGTAAAATATTTTTTTAGCCATATAATGAAGAACATAAAATATTAATCTTTTTTTATAATTAGGTTTTTTTCATCGAATCCTTTTTTTATTATAGTAATTTGCAGATTATTTAACTGATAATCATCAATTTTTAGTTTTACACAGAATACACAATATATATTTATTTACGGTTACAGAGAATTGTGAGACTTTGTTTTCGACATAACTTATTTAACCAGAGTTGTTTTTACCAATTTTTTTTGCGTGAGAGCCATAAATCCTGGTAAATATATAAAATTGCAGCTACGAGAAGAATCATTAATAAGTTAAAACCATATAGATTTTAATATATAGCTTTATATTTTTGTTGATCAGAATTGATTGCGTCTTAATTAAAACGTAGAAGCAACCTGTGAATAGTTTCTAAAATATAAACGATTGTAAATGAAGATGCGAATGAAACTTCTGGGAGTGTTAAATTAAATATAACGAAACTTCATTATTCATTTAAATTGACTTTACTTTCCCGAAGTTTGGGTTCAACGTTTAATTATAATGAGAATAGTATTGAATATTATACAGTTGCGGCGAAAGATGACGATTTTCTCGGAGGTTCTTCGGGTGGGGGATGAGAGAGGAAAAATGCAAATTTATTGAAGAATCTATAAGTTAAAATTGAAAATTACAAAACGAGATTGTGAAACAGCCTGTGTGAGCAAGATTATAATTACTGTAACAGAAATTCTCCGGTTAAATTCAGTAATGCTGTTAATTCTCACGACCCTGCGACGAGGGAATATTTTGAATAAAGTTATTTTATAATATTACATTTATATTTTATGATTTTATGCAGACATTTATTTCGGACATTTTAAACATTTGTTTACAAACATTTGTAGAATATATTTCTATATACTGCTGTGCAATTCCGATATACTAATCGATTGTACTACAGGCAACTGTTTGCATACATTAATTTTCGTTGTAATTAATCTAATTAATAATTAACAAATTTCATAAACTACGAATTAAGTTTTGTTTTAACGAGAACAATGCGCCGACCATTTATAAACTTATTTCTTTACTCACTTTGTGTATTTATTAGAAACGTAAATCCCGTTAGAAAGTTTTCGAACTAGTTCCATCGCTCCAAAGAGTGAATACAATACATATTTATCGTATAAAAATAAAAGATAATAAATTATATTTCACAACTTAACTGTCGGCAAAATGCGAGTTAAAAATTAAAACGAGTTGAGGAAAATGAGATGTGCACTGTCGTGGAAACTACTCTTATTAACCGTACATTAATTTATCTTACTAATTTATCTCGATGGACGCTACTATGAAAGGATAGTAATCTATAAGCCAAAGGATCGAGGATTTAATTGAAAATACGTGTACTTTCATCTCTACGAAACAAAAGCTCATTGACATATCTTTTGTATTGCCGAAGGAGTGTCGTTAATTATTCTATACGGCCGCGCCGTAAAGTTGAGTCTCTTTTGCTGTTACGTTTTTGATATTGTACGTCATACGGAAGGCGCGATGAAGCTCGGACGTTACGCAAAATAGATACGCGATACGTACACACATGCACACCGCTAGCGGCACTGCGGTACAGCTTGCGGAGTAAGTCAATATCATAAACGGACTGTAATACGGACTGGCGAGCGAAAACAATAGCGGTCACTCCGAGAGAAGAAGAGTGAAATAAAAAAA